CTCTTCTCTTCTCTTCTCTTCTCTTCTCTTCTCTTCTCTTCTCTTCTCTTCTCTTTACTTCTCTTATCTTCTCTTCTGGGCCATATAACTACATGTTTTCTTGCTATTCACTAAGTCATTGCCTAAATTTGGCTGGAATTTTTTTATTCTGTACTTATATAAGAAGTCTATAGTAATGTGTGTGTGTGTGTGTGTGTGTGTGTGTGCGCGCGCGCGCATGCACACATTCATGTGAGCATGCCTAGTGGAAATAGAAAAGGAAGAGAAGGAAAATAAAGAAAAAGAAGAAGAAGGAGGAGGAGAAAGAAGAGAGAGAGAGAGAGAGAGAGAGAGAGAGTTTTTAATAATGTATTCTTGTTTGGCCTGGTCTCATTTGCTACAACTAGCCAAAATCTGTCAGCGAGAAAGAGAGCAGGGGACAGTTGGTATTCATTTAGTGTATTTCCTCAGCCCAAAGAGAGGGAATTCAAATTAAAGAGAACCAGAAAGAGCTTCATTGACACAGAGAATCCATGGAGGTTTTCTCCTGGCTGTTTGTAACCATTTCTACTGGATTCCCTATATGATATTGCAAACCTTACTCTGTTCTAAGCAGTCAGTGGAAAGGAACAAATGCCGCTGTTTTGTCTAATCACTTAGTTCTTGGTTCAGATCTTCTACACCCTGAGAGTGAGAGACAATCATACCCTAACTTTACAGTTATAGCCCTCTCCCAAATCTAAGCCATCATCATTAGATCCTAAGTGATCTTAACTAAAATCTCACTGACCTCTCCATCTTTCTTTCCTCGATATTAAGGTTTCATCCTTCAGTGAGAAGAAAATAGCATGAAAAAAAATGAAATTCAAAATGAAAAGTAAGTCCAAATCAAAAAGAAAAGAAGAGCTCTCCATCAGGAGAGGGTACTGAGTAAACTCTAAGAACACAAAAGAAGGAGAATATACTACTTGAGTTGTTTCTGGGATAAAAAAGATTTCACTTTATTCTTTGGAGTCATTACTATAAAATAAAACAATCACCTCTTGAGTGTGTGCTCTCTCAAAAGCATACATTAACAGGGTTAGGTCTTTCCACAATGTCAGAATGTACTGAATGACAATAAATTTAAAAGGCATATTGCTATAGAGATTTGCATTGTTATGGATCTTATTCTATTGATACAAATTTAAGGTCAATCTTGTTATATGTTTATTTCTGCTCTTGATTAAGATGCTGTGTTTGTACAGTTGATTTTAAAATGTAGTGTTATTAAGAAATACAGGTTAATAGATAGTCATCTATAATAGTCAAGCTTGTAGCCATGTTAGTTAGGTTTTTTAGATGTACAGAGATGTATTTCAGATAGATAAATATACTTCATATCTTTCAAAGACTACAGAATATGGCAATTAAAAGATTTTAAGAACTTGGGACTTTTCATAACAATGAGACACATCTGCTCCTGGCAGCAATAATAACTTCAAGAAGAAAGTGGGCACTGAAGAGGCTCCTTATGGAGTTTGTTAGCCATTTGGGCAAGAAGCTGCTCTTTCCTGGACTGCTTGATGGTATTCTGTAAAAACGGTGCATGCAGGACCCATGGAAAAAATGACTGCTGAAATGCCTAAAGAAGGTGATACAGTCCTTCAGGGTTCCTGCTTCATGAAAAAGTCTGGCAGACATTCTGCAGGACACAGAAGAAAGTGACTGACAAACTTCCAATATAGGCTAAACTAACTTTGAAATTTCTTGCTTCATGGAAAAGTCTGCTGGATACTATGGGCCTGTAGGCTGAAGATGGATGGTACAGAATAACTTTGGATGACTGTCCAGGCAGCGAGAAGTCTCTGTCAATTCTAGAGTTTTGGAAGTTGCTTACAATACACTTCCTATTTACTTAGGTAATATTATATTCCTCTGGAGTCTTTGATGGAATTGAAGAGTAGATAGCAATAACATAGTTTTCCTTAGTTATGATAAAAGATAAAATAGATATAAATATTGTAACTGTAATTCTTACTTACATATAAATGTTTTATTATATGTAGTTTTACTATGCTGAAATTAAAACCGTCCTTTGCATTTAAACAGAAAAGGGGAGGTTATGTGAGGTTTCCCTCTGTATGCTGTAAATATCATTGGTTAGTAAAGAAACTGGCTTGAGCCCACAATAGAGTAGAATAGAACTAGGCAAGAAAAACTAAACTGAATGCTGGGAGAAAGGAGGCAGAGTCAGGAGAAGCCACGGAGCTGCCACCAGAGACAGAGATGCTGTAACCTTGCTGGTAGACCACGAGCCTCTTGGTAAAATATAAAATAATGGAAATGGGTTAACTTAAGATGTAAAAGCTAGCCAGTAAGAAGCTGGAGCTAATGGGCGAAGCAGTGATTTAAATAATATGGTTTCTGTGTGATTATTTCGGGAGTCTTGGCAGCCAGGAAATGAACAAGTAACTTTCTTATAATAGTATATTTGTTTCAATGTCATCCTTTGCCAGATAACCCTGCTTCTTTGGTAATTTGAATGAGGTTAGAGCAGGTTCTTTTATTTTAATCTTAATCACTAATATTAACTATAGAGCACAATACCATAAATGTATATATGAGTAGATTATAGAATAGATACAAACAGTTAAAGAAGCTACAAGAAGTTTCAGAAGTATTCTTATGGCTGTAGGTAGAGTCTATATTGGTTAAGATAAGAAACCCAAACAGAGTTCATGGAACAAGCTGTCACTGTGGATTCAGGCTACTGTGACTCACAGAGTTGAATCCACCTGCATTGGTGAAAGAATAGGACCAACTCCAGAGAAAACACAAGTGGTCATATGATGGAGGTCTAGATGAGAAGACATGTACAGAAACCAGCAAGTATTTCATTCTGATGTTACCAAAGGCTTACATTTGCCCAGAATATCCCAGACATTTCCATGTTATTTGTCTCTAACTCCTTTTTCACTATCAGAAGAATTCTAATACAAGACATAAAACTTATCACTAACTTTTGAAAGACTATTTATTCTAGGGGCAGAATGACTTAGATAATTACATAGAAGGGATTGAAAGCAACAGATTCTTTACATAGACATGAAGGGCATATCCTTGAAAAAGGGAACTATATACATGAAGGAAATGTCATAGCAGCATCAAATATCAAGGTAAGGAATCAGAAAGTTTTGAGGGAAGGGAAGATAAAGATTGTTGTTTTGAGAAAAACTAGTTTTTCCTTCAGTCTTACATTCTGCTCAGAGTTCATTTACACTTCTAAGGGAATCTGTATATTTAGTACACAGCTCTTCTATATTTATAGTGATATCTACTACAATCATAAGTCCACCTTGGTCTTCCTCTTACAGTGTCAATAATTATTCACCAATATTTTAATGTTAACAAGAAACCTGGTGGTCTAAATCTACCATCATTACCATCTCATTAACTTTTCAAAACGAAACTTATGAAGTATCTTCCATATTTCCTTTTTCTCTCTTGTCCTTGATAAATAATCTATAAGAATCACCAATAAGATTTATATCCAAAAATGACCTGATATCTACTAATTGTTTACTATTCTATCTTATGTACTTAATCAGGTCACCAATAATTTTTTTTAAGTAAAAACATTTTTATTTATACAAATGGACAGTTATAGACCAATCCCAGTGTTCTCGCCTTCCTGCTTGATGGCTCTGCTTTCTTCCTCCTCTTCCTCATCATCGTCTGTAATCAGATACTCCTGGATTTCCTTAGAGACCCAGGCCCTCTGACTGCGGAGCTGAGCCTCGGCCAGGACATAGGGTGGCAATGGTTCCAGGGAGAACAGGTCCTTCATGTTCACCCGGCAGCCATAACACAGCTGTTCTATGACACAGGCCTGTGTATCCCCCCTCCTGCCAACTCCCCTGTGGCAGCTCTGGGCCTGACCCTCCCCTGAACCACAGCAGGGGGTGGTAGGTACCCCAGCCTCAGCAGGCAGCATCTGGGACAGATGTGAGGAGGACTGAGCCCCAAAAGCTGTGGCACTGTCAGTGGTGTCAATGTCCAGTGCACACGTGCAGAGGAGGCAGCTGGAGCTGGAGGGGCCAGAGGCACAGCCCTCCCGGGGTGCCTTGACCAGCTTCTCACTTGTCCTGTACACAGTACTGACTGTAGAGGGGAAAAGAGTTTGCAAACTCAGGATAAAGGCTTCTATCAGCCGGTGGATGCTAGCCTTTTCTGGAGCCTTGGTATGGATGGCTGGTCTGAGGACCAAGGGAACGCCAAACAGGTGGTTGTAGAAGGCCACTTCCTTCAGGGTGTGGTCCCGCATAGGCCTCACCAACACCACATCCCCATGCCGCTCATCCGAGAAGCCCGTGTCCCAAGCAAGGAAGGCTCCTCTCCCCAAGGCCAGGTTGGTCATAAGCTTGATGGCCAAGCGGGTACGGCTCTCCCCAGTCATCACCTTGCAGTAGCCTTAGGTTCAGGCTACATGCACAATCAGATGGGTCCTCAGGGTCTGCAGAAGCTCCTCTTTGGCTGTCAGCATCTTTATGGAACTGAACAACCTAGACAAGGCCTCTGTCTGAGCAGCTGTGGAAGAGGGTGGAAGTAAGGGGAAATGGTTAGAGAGAAGGGAGAGGGGGAGGATTGGGGATGACGTCGGGGAATGAGACGGGGGTGGGGGGAAGGATGGATATGTGAGCAGGCAAGTATGTATCTCAACTTAGGGAGCCATTTTAGGGTTGGAAAGAGACTTGTTTCTGGAGGGGTTCTCGGGCCCAAGGAGAGGTCCCAAGATTGATCCCTGGCCAGCAGAGGAGAGGGTGCCTGAACTGGCCTTGGCCCATAACCATACTGATGAATATATTGCATATCACCATAGAACCTTCATCTGGCGATGGATGGAGATAGAGACAGAGACCCACATTGGAACACTGGACTTAACTCCCTAGGACCAAATGAGAAGCAGAAGGAGGGAAAACGTGAGCAAGATAGGCAGGACCAGAGGGAACCTTCATCCGACGATGGATGGCGATACAGACGGAGACCCATATTGGAGCACCGGACTGAGCCCTGAAGGGTCTGAAGACAAGAATAAAAATATAGAAATAAAAATATAGACACTAAAGATTAGAAGGTAGAAGTTTAGGATGTAGGAAGAAGGACACATAAAGCTGCAAACCTAAGTAAACTATCAACAACTTTCTCAGCAGATCACAGATCAATCTTCACAGGGATTACTTTCTCGGATGCCTGGGAAATCTCCATCACGTTAGCTATTTACAACTGACTGTTTTATTACAAGGCCAGAGCATCTCCCTGTAAACTGAGGGTAGTGTCTTGACTGTCCTTAACAAACAGTAGGTGTGAACTGAGTTTAACCCTTAGGAGACAGAGATATGTGACCTCTGAGACAGACACTGTCTCTGTCATGGGAAACTGGCACTACCAGAGGAGAGGCATGACCTCAGTTTGTACTTGGGGATACCAGGAGACAGTGGATAAATAAAAGAAGGTTTAGTTAATGAGCTCTGATAATGAAGGTTGTAAAGTATGGCAGTCAATATCTGAAAATTTACCTAAAAATAATGTGAAAGACTTTTCTTCTAAGTTCTCAGTCCAAGAATCCTAATTTATTAACCTTCTAGTGTTACAAGCAGCCCCCTTTATGACAAATTGCTAAAGATATATGTTTTCTTGCAATTAGTGACTTTCGTTGTAGTCTCTCCTAAAACATATTTCATGATGGCTGCTTAATTATTCATGGACACTAGCACTCACTCCCCTCTTTAGGGTCTCTGCTGACCAACCCAAGGGTCAGGGGCAAGGTTGTAAAATTCTTTTGATCAAGGATAATGCCTGGTGCCCCTGCTATAAAAAGTAGGTTCAAAAACCAGCTGTTTGCCACAGCTTAACAAACACCATCTCTGGCTGTGGTCTCAGCTAGCTGATAAGCTTCTGTGCCCCGCGGTGTTTTATTTTTATTTTTTTATTTTTAAGTTTGCTTCTGGTTTTCCTAGGATCTGGTTTCTGGAATAAAGTTTGCTTCTGGTTTATTAGACTTGGTGGTGTTCTCATCTTTGTGCGACCCCCCTGGACCCAACAAGCCCCCCAAGGTCCAAATGAGGAGCAGAAGGAGGGAGACCATGAAAAAGGAAATCAGGACCGCGAGGGGTGCGTTCATCCACTGATACAAGGGGACTGATCGAATGAGAGCTCACCAAGGCCAGCTGGACCGGGACTGAAGGAGCATGTGATCAAACCGGATTCTCTGAATGTGGCTGACATGGGGGCTGACTGAGAAGCCATTGACAATGGCACTGGGTCTCGTATTGTCTGCATGTACTGGCTTTTTGGGATCCTAGTCTGTTTGGATGCTCACCTTCCTAGGCCTGGAGGGAGGGGGGAGGAACTCGAACTTCCCACAGGGCAGGAAACCCTGACTGCTCTTTGGACTGGAGAGGGAGGAGGAGAGGGAGTGGGGTGGGGAGGAGAGGGAGTGGAGGGAATGGGAGGGTATGGGGAGGAGGGGAGGAAGTGGAAATTTTTATAAACAAACAAATAAAAAAAAGATTTATATCCAAAAATGACCTGATATCTACTAATTATTTACTAATCTAGCTTATGTACTTAGTCAGGTCACCAATAACCTCATCTGAAAAATTCTAGATGCCTTCTACGTGACCTATCTGATTCTATCCTTGGCCTTCAATAACCTCTTTTGACATTGCCCAAAGCTATCTTAAATAACCACCAATTTCACTATTCAAACATTTAAAGACTCAAAGCAGACTAAAATACCAAAGTATTCTCTTTAAGATTTTATGTGATTTAGCATTTAGCCTTAAATACTACTTTAAACATATCTCATGTCACATTCTTTTCTTGAGACTCTCTGCTCATCCCCTATACTCTTCCTTAGAGATATCATGATTTTACTGCTGTTTTCGGGATCTTTATGCTTGTCTTTCTGTTAAAATAGTCTGCCCTCCATTTGTAATAGATAGTTCTTTTCTTTGCCTTTAGCTTTGGGAATTTTTCCACTTTTCTAAGAGGACTTCATTGGTCTCCATCTCAATGTTTTATTTCTATAACATATCACAATTAATCACCTTTTTTTGAATTTCTAATTGCAGCAATTTACTGTCTACTCATACATAAACTCCAGGTCACCAATGACTGTTTCAGTACCTTTTAATCTTGTGGCCTCAAAGCCTGTAGCCTCGCGGGTGCTAGATAAATATCTGGTGAATGGTAAATTGCTATAACAGTGAAGCAATTAATATTTAACAAGTGCAAAGAAAGAAAACAGAAGGCTTCTAGGGAAAAACAAATGAGAACGTTGTCTGCTATGCAGAGACATGATGCTCCAAGTTTGTTTTCTTTCCCAAACAGTCTTTTTCAGGGATGTTTGAAGAAGAAAAAGAGATGTTGTTTCTCTGCAGACTGCAAAATATCCCCTGGAGAAACAATGCTCTGGCCCATGAACTAGTTCCCAATTAGACAACAAAACTTTATGGCCCCACTTTTAACTGTGCAGTGCTCACTTCACTGAATTAAAGTACATATTTGGACTTTATTTGATGGGCATCCTTACCATTTACATGCTAAATCCCACTCTTCCTAGCCAAGTATCCAATTAAAATTCATGGGGGAAGTTCACACCTTGGTATCTGCCTACATAATTCTCTATTTATATAGCAAAAGCTGTCAACATGACAAGAAGAGATATATTTTTTTCTTTGTTCAGGAAGTGCACTAACAACATTAACAACAAAAATCAGAGCAAACTGAAACCACATTCTTCTTCTCATTCTAAAAGGAGACCAATTTTAATTTGTTTCTGTGGGGCTGGAGTTAAGCAGTTAAGAGCACTTGCTGACCTTGTAAGGAAAGGTTTGTTTCTCAGCACCCACATACCAGCTCACATCTGACTCTAACTCTAGCTTCATAAGATCTAATCCCCTATCCCACCAGGCATGCACATTTATGCAGGTAAACACTTATAAACATAAAATAAAAATATGTGAATTTTTTCCATCTGGGCTGACCATGACCCCTCAAGAGCCCAAAACCATCTGGAAAAAAAAAAAATAGCTCCAACACTAAGCAGAAAAAGGCCTTTTCTGAGCTGTTTATCGGGATTCTCCAAGAAAGTCCCAAAACATTATATGCCATGGCTATTGCTATTGCTACTGCAATTGCCTTTGGTTGCCCCTACAACACACACACACATACACACCAAACGTGGAAGGTAAGTACCTGTTGTTAAAGACTATATGTACTTCAGACAACTGTATCAGAGGTCCCTGAACTGTCACTGATTTAAAAGTCTTCCCCTTGAGTACTAGCTTTCATGGTACCCAAACGCATCGTGCAAGCTTCCAAGAGAGGGAAGCAACATACAGTCCTGCTAAGCTATAATACCTATGAACCATAATGACCAGCATTGCTGATAACCCTAAGAGTATAGCCATAGCATGAATATCTTGATAATTTAACAAACAGCTCTCAAATTGTATTTAAAACTAACTAAACCAGAGAATAATCATGCCTTCTACTGAAAAGCTAACCAACTAGAGTCATGGAAGAGAACCTACAATCTTCATTTTACTAAGCTAGCATACTTCCTTACCTCCATTCTAAACGTTTGTCCTTTTACCCACAGATCAGTGAGGTCTTAGTCCCTTTTTAAAAACCTTCTCTTTGCAACAATCATAGACCATTATGCAAAACTACAACCAATCAAAATACATAGTTATGTAGCTAAGTTCAAATAATGGCATCTAAAATACAACTTTCACACCTAAATCTAGGAGTCATTATGGGAGACTGAAGAGAAAGACTGTGAGAGACAAAGGATCCAAGAGTTTGCTAAGAGATTGTGTCTCCTTGGACTTTCAGCACCTGCCCTAAGGAGTCACCAGTGTGACTCAGCAAAAATGATCTGAACAAGGACAATACTCATCCTAAAGTGGATGTGAGAAAGCCCTTGAGACCTCAACAATACACAAAGAACTTTAGAGAACTAAGAAATATTTAGAGGAGGTAAAATAGACTCCCCCATGGGAGAATACACAGCTGATTATCCATAGCAATTGGTCAGCCTGAAAACATACATACAAGTGATATCTTACAGATTGAGCAAGTTATATCTAGTAATATATGTACATATAAAAACATGTATGCATACAAAAACAATAAAAAAAGACTTGAATTTTAAAGAGAGTGGGAAGGGCATATGGGAAGGATTGGAAAAAGGAAATAAAAAGGGAAATAAAGGGATTATGTTATAATCTCAAAAATTAAAAGAAAAATTCACATATGTTTGTATACTTTTTTCTAAAAATTGCTTTCATGTATTACTACATGTGTATTATTTTATTCATTTCACTTTGGTTGTCTTCAAATTTAAAAATAAATATCAGCATCTGTTTATAGATTCATGTGATTTACATGTGATCAAATGTGCCATACTGCACACGTC